GGGCTATAGTTTAGCTAAGACCACTATGTAGAGGACCCAAAATGGGTTTTCCATTGGTCCATGGCTTATTGGTGATGATTGGTACCTCAAGTCCACCAAAATACCCATATTGGCCTTTTGCCCCTATAACACCCCAAATTACCAAAATACCCCTCTTGGGCCCAAAATCCCAAAAATTTCAAAAATTACCAGAAAATCCCAATAAATTCCAAATAATCCCAATTTCATTTCTCTCAACTACCACATAACCCAATTTGGCCAATTTGACCATCTTTAATCAAAATCCCCAAATTGTCCTTTAAAAACCCAAATTTCCCCAAATCCCAAATCCAACTAAAATGTCCACCAATTTGATCTCAATTGACCACAATTTCAATCCTAAACTCAAATTCAATATTAATATGACCAAACTAAACCAAATACAAGCTCAATTGGTCCATGATTTAAACCCAATTTTGATTTGGGTCAAAACCCCAATTTTGACCATATGACCTAATCTCACCAAATTGAACCCATAGCCTAGTCAATTGGCCTCAATTGATGTTTCAAAATCTTTATAACATTCATATAAATCAAAATCAACCACCAATTTACCTTGGTGAAGCCTCAAATCCATTTGATTTTGGCCTAAATCCAAAATTCCCGTCCACATATTTCACCCAATTGATTGCCTTAACGTCCAAATTGGCATCCAATTCATGTTTAAAACTCTTCATGAGGTCCCTATTGACCATTTACAACAATCAATTTGGACTTAGCCCAAGGTTAACCCAAGCTAGACCCAAGCCTAGCCCAACATGACCAATTTGATTAAAGTTCAAAATTCTTTCAAATTGACCCCCCCAATTGGACTCAACCACTTCCATCCTTCACCAAAGTTGTTTCTTATGATCATTTGCACCCAAGTTTTTGTCATTTGCACCCATTTGGACCCATGCACTAAGTGCGACCTAACCACCCTAAGGCCACCAAATTAACTCCACCACAACTATTAGTTGGACTTAGTGCCCAGTCCAAACACCATGAAATCACCTAAATCAAGCCATGGACCAAAGGTCCCCCAAATTAAAGGATCTTATTTCCAAAAATGCACATGCTTAAGATATCTTTGCCAAATCCAAACACATTTGCATTAAATTGTTGTGATGG